GTATAAACTATATGATACTATTTATTTAATTTAAGTCCAATGGAGATTTCGTCAATTCCAAAATTCCAATTATCATTTATCGAGAATCTAGGATGAAGTTTTGTGGTGTTCGGACATAGCCAAATACCGGGAGTTCGAGTATTATTATTATTTATTCCTGTGTTTTATTTTCGTGCATAAAAAGACTTAAATTATATAATATTTTACCACGAGTTTAAAAAGACTTTATGATATATACCTTTTTGAAAGATACTCAGCCAACCTGAATCAAGACGCTGAACGTTTAATCGCAGAGTTATTGACAATTCGTTAGTCACAGAGGGAAATCTAAAGGATTTGAAAATATCTCCCGATATTTCATCTTTGAAATTTCCGCTCAATAGCTATAATTCCAAATTTCTGACGTAGACAGGGCCAATATTCTATAATGAAGAATTAAAATACTGTACTCCGTTTTTTTTATGCAATATTTATATTTAAATATTTACTGTAATAGAATTTAACCAAATTTAGTAATATGTGCTACTTAATTACAGTATATTTTGAGATCAACTCTCGATAAATGCAATGTTATACAAAATCAAGTTCGATAATTATGATATTAGTAAAGATCATCGTGATTTTCCGGGTACCGGTTCTCTTTCTAAATGCAACTTAATACACGGTTGATTTTTCGAAATAATATGAAATTCGATAATATATACAGTATAATTTTTAAAAAATAAAAATATAAAATATAATAAAGTCATAATTTATATGATTAGATATATTACAATGCTGTTTATTTATTAGAAGTTTTTGTCTATAAATTTTCAATAGCATTTTCAAAACAGTTTTTATAAGTATAGTTCGCGTCAATCCAGAAACGTATACTACTGTATATATAAACCTCATACCTACAGCTTAATTGTTTTAAAATAAACACGTCATAAGATCGATTGGAAATGCTATTTTTAAAAACGAAATTATAAAACTTGGTTTGATAAAATAAATAAGTTGCGGGTATCCGAGTGTGAAAAATTGGAGACTTTTTTTAATTTTAACTGAATAAGAAATTGGCGCCGTTCTGTTACCATCATTATCCACAGGTTCCTGATGTTGTATGGACAGTGGAGATGGTGTGAGTGTCCCCTAAACTAGATTGACCTCCTCCTCTTCGCTGCCTCCCTTCCAAAAGAATTTTTTTGGATGCCCATTAATTCTATTTACATGACTTTTAAGTAAGAGGGGTTTTTGACTATACCACTTTTATTCGCTTTTTTTGAGTTGTACTTTGTACAAAGTTCTTAACATGTTTATACA